TCCTTCTCCACCCTCCCCTCCTCCTCCTCCTCCTCCTCCTCCTCCTTCCTCCGCCTCTCCTCCTCCTCCACCTCCTCCCCCTCCTCCTCCTCCTCCACCTCCCCCCTTTCTCCTTCCCCCTCCCATCTCTATTATTGTGTCTCCTCCTCCTCCTCCTCCGCCTCCTCCTACTCCTCCTCCGCCTCCTCCTCCTCATCCCTCTACACCTTGTCATCTCACCTCCTCCCCCTCCTCCTTCGCCCTCCTCGTCATACGAATCCTCCTCATCCTCCCGATGCTGTTCCTCCTCAAATTTTGATCCTCCTCCTCCTCATCCTCCACCACTCCTCTCTCGGAACCCAGGTGTTCGAGGATGTCTCAGGCGAGACGGGCCAGAGCACCTCGTGCGCAGCATCTCGGAGCTCCGACTTGCGAGAGTGTCCTCGCGCGCGGCACCTCGGAGGCCGGAGACTGCGAGGACGTCCTCAGGCGAAGCGCGCCGGACCCGAACCCCGCGCGCAGCACCTCGGAGCCCGGAAGTGCGAGGGCATCTCCGGCGAAACGCACCGGACCACCTCGCTCGCAACATCTCGGAGCCCGGAGTTGCAAGAACGTCCCGGGCGAAAGGACCACCTCGCTCGCAACATCTCGGAGCCCGGAGTTGCAAGAACGTCCCGGGCGAAAGGGCCACCTCGCTCGCAACACCTCGGAGCCCAGAGTCGCAAGAATGTCCCGGGCGAAAGGGCCACCTCTCGCGCAACACCTCGGAGCCCAGAGTTGCAAGAATGTCCCAGGCGAAACGCGCTGGACCACCTCGCGCGCGGCATCTCGGAAATCAGAATTGCTAGGATGTCTCAGTCGAAACGCCCCGGACCACCTCTCGCGCGGCATCTCGAATCTCCGATGTCCGAGAAGGTCTCAGACGAAACGCCCTATCCCGGCCAACCCGAAAACGAGAGCTGCGAGGACGCCTCGAGCGAAACGGCCCAGACCACAGAGCTTGTTTGACGAGGTCTCTGCTGTGGCCGCCCTCGGCCGAAACTAGCCTCTATCACAACAGCACCCCGTTTAGCAGGTGAGCGTGTTCTTGTTCGGCGTTTCGACATTGGGCGGAGGGGGAGGGGGGAGGGGGGGTCTGCTTCTAGACCCCTGCTTAATCTGACTGTTTGCAACAGTGCGTTCTGTGGGGGAGGGACTCCACCTACTCGAAACAGACGCCGAAAACAGCCAAAATCTCCTCCGTGGCGGGGGGGAAGGAGGGGGGTGCGAGGGCCCGCGCCGATCGGCAATACAATAAATAAGAGAACGCCGACCAACACACCCCGCCCTGAAAGCTCGGGGTTCCCGTGAGTTGGCGAGGCGAGGAGCCTCTCGTCGAAGGGCGCCTGGCGCGAGTCCAGAGCTACCCCTCCTCCTCCTCTCCCTCCTCCTCCTCCTCCTCTCCTCTCCTCCTCCCCCTCCACCCCCCTGCACCTCCTCCCTCCTCCTCCTCCACCTCCCACTCCACCTCCTCCTCCCTCCCTCCTCCCCTCCTCCTCCTCCTCTCCTCCTCCTCCTCCTCCTCCGCCACCTCCTCCTCCTCCTCAGCCTCCTCCACCTCCTCCTCCCTCCTCCTCCTCCTCCTCCTCCTCCTCCTTCCTCCTCCTCCTACTCCGCCTCCTCCTCCCTCCTCCGCCTCTTCCTCCCTCCCTCCCGCCCTCCCTCCCTCCCTCCTCCCTAACCTCCCTCCCTCCCTCCCTCCCTCCCTCCCTCCTCCTCCTCTTCCTCCTCCTCCTCCTCCTCTCTCCTCCTCCTCCACCTCCTCCTCCTCCTCCTCCCTGCTCCTCCTCCGCATCCCCCTCCTCCTCCTCCTCCTCCTCCTCCATCCTCCTCACTCCTCCTCCTCCTCCCGCCCCCCGCCCTCGCTCCTCCCCCCCTTCCCTCCCTCACTCCCTAACTCCCTCACCACCCTCCTCCCTCTCCCCTCTCCCTCCTTCCTCTCCCGTCCTCCTCCCCTTCTCCCTCGTCCTCCTCCTCCCTCATCCTCCTCATCATCCCCTCCTACCTCACGCCTCCGCCTCCCCTCCTCCCTCCCTCCTTCCCTCCCTACCTCACCGCCCCGCCCTCCCTGCCCTCCCATCCCTCTCCTCCTCCCTGCTCCGCCTCCTCCTCCTCCCCTCCCTCCCTCCCTCCTTCGCTCCCTCCCTCCCTCCTCCCTCCTCCCTGGGCATCGGCGGCGTGCCCGAGAAAGAGGACGGCGAGGCCCGACGAGCGGCAGCTCCGAGGAGCCACGCGAGGGGCCGCGGGGCAGAGGTGAGGAGCGAGAGGGGGGGGTGCAAAGCTGGGCGTGCTCGCGCCATATCTGACGTTCGACCCCTCCCGCGCATCCCTTCCCGTTGCGCTGTGGGTTCGCCGTCTGCCGACACACGTGAGAGGGCGGGCCTGGAGCTCCACAGAGGACCCCCATCGTGTCGCGCGCAATCGGGAAGAAAGGAGCCCTGTACAGTGGAGGAGGTGGCGGATGAGCCGGAAGAGAAGAAGAAGGAGGACGATGAAGGAGGGCGAGGACGAACAGCAGCAGCAGCAGCAGGAGTGGAAGCGGCGGGGAGGAGCAGGAGGCCCAGGGAGAGGCGGAGGAGTGGAAAGTAGGGCAAGAGGGATAGAGAGAGAGAGAAGGGAAGGGGAAGCGAACGCTGGAGTCGTGCGCGCATGGCGCGGGAATGGATAAGGAAAGGAGAGAAGGGGAGAGGGAGATGGGCAGGGGAAGGGAGGCGGGCAGGGAAGGTAAGGGGGGGGGAAGGGGAGGGGGCCCACCGTGGTCAGCTTCTCGTCTGTCATTGCCGCCGCCGCTGCTGTCGTCGTCGGCTCCTCCCTATCCGCCCTTTCCGCCTGCCCCTGGAGTGCCCACCTCCCTTCCTCCTCCTCTGCCATGACAGGCCCTTGTGGTCTGTAAGACCGCCAGAGGCCTCACACTCAGCCTTTTAGCATGCCTGCCCGCCATGGACCCTGGATGGGACTGACTGCTCTGAACTTGTTCACTTGGTGCGCGCGCAGATGACTTTTACAGGCACTCTGCTAGTTGCGGCGCCGCCTCTACGAGACAGCCAGATGGTTCAACACGCGTGCAATCCGAAATCCTCCTCTGCCTCCTGCCCCCTCCGTCATCCGTCTTCTTCCTCCTTCTCCTCCATCCAGTCGTGGGCTCCTCGTCGTCGAGGATGTTGCCCTTGGAATTGGAGAGCCTCGGGGCACCCCGAGCAACCAGAAGAACAGATGGCCGCAGCTGGCGACCAAAGCCGCATGGGATGCGGGGCCGATCGGGCTTCCCCACCCTCCTTCTCCTCCTCCTCCTCCTCCTCCTCCTCCTCCTCCTCCTCATCATCATCATCATCATCATCATCATCACCACCATCATCATCATCATCATCATCATCATCATCATCAGCAGCAGCAGCAGCAGCATCAGCATCAGCATCAGCATCAGCATCAGCATCAGCATCAGCATCAGCGTCAGCATCATCATCATCATCATCATCATCATCATCATCATCATCATCATCATCATCATCATCATCATTCCTATCGGCTCCTCCTCCTCCTCATTCACCGCCAACTCATAGCATTTCGTGTCCTCATCCTTCTACGTCCTGGTTATGGTTATGATTACCAGCCTTGAGTCCCTATATCTCTCCGCACTGTCATCCCTGATGCCCTGTTCCTGCCCATAAGTCCTGATCGTCGTCATCATCATACCTACTCCTCCCCCTCCTCCTCCTCGCCCACTCCAGCCCCCACTCCCAAACTCCAGTTTCCGTTCCACAATCGTACTTGGCTGTCCTTCTCCTCTCATATCCAATCCGACCTCCACCTCCTCCACCTATCAGTCCTCCTCCACCTAACCCTCCTCCGTCTTTATCATGCTCCACCTGAACCCCATCCCCCATCCTCCTCCACCTCCTGGGACTTGATCGGTCGATCCAGCCCGCGCGCGAGCGTGACAACAGTGGAGCCGACCTCCGTTCGCCCGATCGGGCCCCACGAAGCGCGGCGCTGCTCCAAGATCTTGTCCTCGATCTCCTTCGGGGGGGAGGTATGGACGTGCGGGAGGCAGGACAGGCGGCCATCCCGCCAATGTTTGTGCAACGTGAACAAAAAGGAAAGGAGGAGGAACAGGAGGAGGAAGAGACGGAGGATGACACCGAGGAGAAGGATCACCCTGACGAGGAAGACCCCGTGGACGAGGAGGGTGACCCTGAGGATGATGAGGAGGAGGGCCCTGAGAACGAGGATCAACTTGGGGACCCTGAGGAGGTGGGGGAGAAGAGGAGAACCCTGAGAAAGAGGAGGAGGACAAGGAGGAGCCCCAAGACGGCCCCAAATGGCCCCAAGACGGCCCGAATGAGATTTCCAAGATTGCCCCACAAGAGCCCAACCAAGACAGTCCCACGCCGGCCCAAACTGGCTCCATGAGAGCACCTCACGACATGAAGACTGAAGGTGCCCCATGTCGCTGCCTTTCTCTTCTCTTCTCTTCTCTTCTCTTCTCTCCTACTCCTCCTCCTCCTCCTCCTCCTCCTCCTCCTCCTCCTCCTCCTCCTCCTCCGCATCCTCCTCCTCGTCATCATCATATGCTTTGCCCTCCCCATGACGGCTACATGTGTCCTGAGAAGGAGGCGGGGGGTGAGGACGTAACCGCCCGCATCGGTCCGTGCCGGGCGAACCCACGGCTCTGTGTGGATACGAACGCCTGGCCCGGCCGAGGCCCCGAGGCTGCCCTGGCCAGGAGTTGCGCAAGGGATGAGGCATGTGGCAAGGCAGGGCGCTCGGAGGGCGGGACGAAACAGACACTGCGAGGGAGGAGCACGAGGAGGAGGTGAGGGCCGGGAAGCAGCGGAGACCCACCTGCCGTTCTAAAACGTACGGAACTGACCCAAACACCTAGACATCCTCCCCCCTCCTTCCCACCCTCCCTACCTCGTCTCTTCCGTCCCTCCCTCCTCCTCCTCATCACCTTCTGCATCCTCCTCCTCATCGTCGTTCTCAATCCTCGCCATCATCGCCACCAAAATGACAGCACACTAATCCGCATCATAGTCATCAGCAGAATTCTCAGAGCTCTCCTCATCATACTAAGAATCAGCAACATCATCATTACCAGCATGATCATCAGCAGCATCACTAGCATCATCATCGCCAGCAGCATCGTCGTCATCATCAGCATCATCAGCAGCATCACCAGCATCATCACCATGAACATCACCAGCAGCATCGCCACCATCATCATCATCATCATCATCATCATCATCATCATCATCATCATCATCATCATAAATACCACCACCACCACCGTCACCATATCCCTCGTCATCAACAGCATCATCATCAACATCATCAATATAAACAACACTGTTACCCTCACCATCGTCAACAGCATCATCAACCACATCACCAGCAACATTGCCATCATCATCAACAACACAACCACCAACGTCACCAGAATCCGCGTTATCAACCACAACAGCATCAAGATCATCAACCAAACTATCATCATCATCAGCATCATCAGCATCATCATCACCATCACCATTATCATCATCACCATCACAATCAGTATCATCATCATCATCATCATCATCATCATCATCATCATCATCATCATCTTCATCATCATTATCATCAGCAGCTTCATCAACATCATCACCATCAGCAGCATCACAATCATGATAAGCATCATCCTCACAATCATCACCACAATCGTCATCCGCATCCAGGTTACCAATTCAATTACCCTTCCCATCACAACCATCATCGTAACACACATGTAATGTACCATGCAATGGTGCATCATCATCGTAGCCGGCAACACCATCGGCATAACCATCGCCATCGTCATGGTAATCCGCATCGACAACACCATCATCATCAAGAGAGGCCTCACAACCACCAACAACACCACCGTCATCCCCGCCACCAACAAACATCATACGTGCAATGCTCGACAACAACATCATGAGCATCGTCATTTTCAGTGTTGCCATCAGCATGTACAACACCATCGTCGACCTGCTCCTCCTCATGATCAACACCACTAGCATCAGCATCATCATCGTCAGCAGCAGCGGCATCATCACCATCATCATCATCATCATCATCACCATCGGCATCATCATTATCATCATCATCAGCGGCATAATCATCATCGCCATCGCAGCAGCAGCACCAGCTGCAACAGGAGTGGGAACAGCATAATCACAATTTGCAATATCAACAGCATCATCATCATCATCATCGTCATCACCATCATCATCATCATCATCAGCCTTGTCTTCCTCACCACAAAAACAACATCATCTTCATCATCAGCGTCTTCAACATCAGCATCGCCATCACCATCAACGAAACCGTAACCAACACCACCACAGACACCACCACCATGATCATCATCATCGACAAAAGCATCAACATAACCATGAACAATATCATCATCATCATCATCATCATCATCCGCATCATCATCATCATCATCTTCTTATTCTTCATCATCATCATCGTCTTCGTCGTCGGTATGCGTATCCTTCCCGTCACGTTCTTCATCGTAACACACATGTAGTGTGCACTGTACCGGTGTTGCATCATCGTAACCAGCAGCACCATCGTCATAGACATCGCCCTCGTCATCATACTCGTCCTCGTAACCAGCAACACCACCGCCACCGCCATCACCTTCACCACCATCATGACCATCATCACCAGCAGCATCAGCATCAACATCAGGATCAACACCACCACCACCACCACCACCACCACCATCACTATCACCACCATCATCATCAGCATCAGCATCAGCATCAGCATCAGCATCAGCATCAGTATCAGTATCATCATCATCATCATCATCATCATCATCATCATCATCATCACCATCACCATCAGTATCATCATCATCATCATCATCACCACCACCATCATCACCACGATCGTCATCGTCCTCGTCATCGTCGTCGCCATCGTGGCGGCCCGTCGGGGGCGAACCTTGCGGAGCACAGCGCCCTGGCCCGAGGCCGGCGGAGCTCGAAAACCAAGCGAGGGGAGCGGGGGCATGGGCGCCTGCATCGCATGCGCCCGCGACCTCGAGGTGCTCCCAGGCAGTCCCGCGGAGGCGGCGGCGGCCCCCGATGGGCGACGCAAAGAAGCGGGACTCACACGAGATAGTGCAGCGGCCTGACGCGGTGGCTTACGCAGGCCACCAGCGCGGCACGCTACGTCGGAAACGAGGGCGCCTACGCGCTACCTGACGCGCCAAATGTCCCGCGCAGTGGAGTCGGTTCTGCGTCGCGCAGACGGCGAGGCCGACGCCTCAGGGCAGCTGGCAGGAGGGCACGGAGGCGACACGGCAGCGGCCTCACGCTGCCCCCGCGCACCACGCGCACAGAGACGCTGTGGAACACAGGCGAGGCGCTCAGTTGCAGCAAGCATTAGGCTGGGCATGTCCTTCCTACAGGCGGAGTTTGGAAGAACAGTGGAAAGTGGTCAAGCAATAACCAGACGGTATCAAACATACTTCTGTAATAATCGTCCCCAGAGTAGTTGTTGACTGTGCAAAGGGCCATGCCCGACTTAAAGCAAGCGCGGCGCCTTCGAAAGGTCCTCGGCGCATGCCGCAGCTGCTGGCCGAGCGACCGCCGCCCCGCGCGCACGGCGCGCACATCCCGCTTGAGCGACGGCGGCCAGGCATGGGGCGGGCAGGGCCTCGCAAGGTCCCGGTCACCGCCCAAGCCCGCGGCAGAGCGCTGGCGTCGGGGCGGTGGACAGGGTCCGTGCCGGCCGCCGAGGCACCCACAGCTGGCGCCAGAGGGGGGGCGGGGGGATGCGGTGGCCCACCGAGCTAGAAGAAGCAGAAACGCCACAAACATAAGCTTTTGGCGCTCCGCGCGGATCTCTTGGATCTGCGCTGGACCCGCCTCCGCCAGGGGCGGCGCCAGAGGCGCCGCTGGGGGGGGGCCCAGCTCTTCGCTGCATCTTCTGGGCCTCGCGGGGGGGTGCCCTGGAGGCCGTCTGGGGCCACCCCGAGAGTCCTGGGGGTACCTTGGGGCCAGGGGTACTTCTAGCAGCACCCGAGAAGAAGGTGCACCCTGCACGATCGCACTCGCCGTCGGGGGTCCGCGCGGATTTTCCCTGGGCCTGCGCCAGAGGCCCCGCCTCGGCGCGCCGGGGAGCGCGCCACGGAGGGCCCCCGCCGGGGGCGCCGCCGGGGGGGCGTCCAGCGCCGACCCAAGGAAAATCCGCGCGGACCTCAGGCAGCTGATGTCTTCGCCGACTGCAGATGGGCGCGCTCCACAACCTTGCAAAGTGGCTGCTCGCAAATGGCCTGGATCCGCCGCGGGTGACTCACGATACACTGCGTCGAAGCAGACATGCAGTGGAACGCGCTCGGCGAGAATTCTCCTCCTCTTCGAGGCACGTGCCCCGCTGGCCGAGGCATCCACGCCAGAGCGATGCCGATACCAAAGGGCGCACCATGGCCCCACGCGGCCTGGCGGAGCCCTCTCAACTCGGCCGCTCTTGTATGGCAGGCCCCATGGGCCGCCAGGAGATGCTACGACGTCTGCCGAGGATGTGAACCAAAATCATCACTGTCCTACACGGCCACCCTTCGGGTGATAAAGAGATTGGGGGGAAGAAACCAACTGATGGTAATATTGGTGATTGTGATGAGAACGATATCGGTGATGAGCCCTCGGGTTGGCGACGACGCGTGATGATGCTGCTGGTCGCGACGAGTGCTGTTGCTTGTCATCTCCAAATCGACCTCCCAATCGATGTCCCAATCGATCTCCCCATCAATCGATCTCACAATCGATCTCACATCGATCTCCCCATCAATCTCCAAATCGATCTCACAATCGATCTCAACCTGTCGATCCCACTATCGATCTCACCAGCGACCTCACCATCGATCTCACGATCGATCTCCCAAACGGATCTCACAATCGATCTCTCAAACGATCTCACCACCAATCTCGCCGCCCTGCTCCAGGACACTGACTCGCGCCGCCCTTCTCCAGGACACGGAACGCCAACGGGACACCGACGGGACACCGACTCGCCACCGACAGGACCTCTGGCCACCGCGCGCCCGGGGTGTGGGAGGGCCTGACAACCGGCTCCACAGCCCCCAGCACGGCGGCATCATTCCACGGAACATCGACGGGACACCGACGGGACACCGAAGCGCCACCGACGGGACACCCCTGGCCACCGCGCGCCAGGGAGGGGGTGGGCGGACAGCTAGCTCCACAGCCCCTAGCCACGGCGGCCTCATTCCTCTCGCGCGCCCACGCAGCTTGGCCTCGCCCGCACGCACGACACGAACACGACACCGAAACCGATTTGCCGGTGGGGGGCTCTCCGTTCCACTGCGATCTCACCCCACAACCTCCGATCACCGCCATAATCATCGTCTTCACAACCATCACAACGGACAACGCCATCAGTACTGCCGGCATCGTCCTCAACATCCGAGTCATAGTCATAGCCATCGCCAAAGCTTCACCATCACCATCATCGACAATCATCATCCTCCTCATCATCAGCATCACCATCAGCATCATCAGCAGCAGCATCATCGTCATCATCATCATCATTTACAACAGCATCATCGTCATCAGCAGCAGCATCAGCATCAGCATCAGCATCATCGTCATCATCATCACCACCACGCATCATCATCATCATCATCATCATCATCATCATCATCAGCAGCAGCAGCATCATCATCAGCAGCAGCATCATCATCACCATCATCAGCATCAGCAGCATCAGCATCAGCATTAACATCAGCATCAGCATCAGCATCAGCATCAGCATCATCATCAGCATCATCATCAACATCAGCATCATCATCGTCATCATTAGCAGCAGCGGCGGCGGCAGCAGCAGCGGCAGCATCGTCCTCATCCTCGTCCTCATCTTCGTGTTCGTCCTCATCATGATCCTCACACCATAGTCAGAAACATCAATAGCATAATCCTCATCGTCGCCGACGTCGTCCTCATCCTATCCTGGACTAGGGTAGGCAGCCGTCGCCACGCGACTCCTTGAGCTGCGACTTGCTCTGAGCGCTCTCGACGATCAGCATCTGCCGCTTCTTCTCCACCTGCGCCGAAGGCGGCCGGGTCCTCCTCCTCCTTCTCCTCCTCCTCCTCCTCCTCCTCCTCCTCCTCCCCCTCCTCCTCCTCCTCCTCCCGCCTCGCCCTCGCCCTCCTCCTCCTCCTTCTCTCCTCCTCCTCCTCCTCCATCTCCTCCCTCGTCCTCCTCCCCCTCCTCCTCCTCCTCTTCCTCCTCCGCCTCCTCCTCCTCCTCCTCTTCCTCCTCCTCCCCCTCCTCCTCCACCTCCCGCCCTGCCGTAGTCAGATGCAGAGACGCGACTTGCAGGCACGAGCACAGGCGAGCGCCGCTGCGCAGCATGGGTGAAGATCGCACGGCACTGGCCGCAGGGGCGCCCGCACCCACCTTTTCGGGCCTGATAGGGGCCTAGGCCCTGGGCCCAAAGACCGAGGATCCTCGGGTCCTGGGGGCCCTCCTTCGGACCGGGCTCCGATAGTCACTCGGGGCTGGCTCGATTGAGGTCCTTCTGTCTCCAGAGGCTCGCGGATCGAGGATTTGTTGGGAGCTTGGGGCAGTCGATTTCCGGGCTGAATCCGACGCCCTGGGCCAGGCGTGGGCGACGAGGAGGAAGGGGAGGAGGCAGCAGCTGCATATTCCTTCTCCGTCCTCCTTCTCCCTTTTCCCCCCTCTCCAGCACGGACATCAGGAGGTTTGCGCGTAATTGTACATCGTTTGCAAAAAGTTGGTAGAATCAGTAAATATGAAGGCGTTGAATGTTGATTGGGCATCCGCTCGCCCCGTGTAGAAGGATGGAACAGGGACACCACACTCCATCCTTGGAACAGGAAGGCGCGAACGAGCTGGATTGGGACCTGGGGCTCCAAACATATATATATATATATATATATATCTATATATATATATATATATATATATATACTATATATTCCTTCTACCTATCAAATTACAAGGAAAAACCCGGCATGTCACCGACACCCCCCCCCACATGGACCCCAGATGAACCCCACAGGCTCCCAAGAGAGCCCCACAATGCTTCGAGACGGCCCAAAATACCCCGAAGAGAGCGACACGAGGCCTACATCGGGAGCCCAAGACAGCAGAAGGCACTTCCGAGAGGTCCTCTGCAAGGCCCAAGAGGCCCCAAGACGGCCCCATAGTGCTCCAACAGGACCAAACATGGGCTCAAGACTGTCCAGGATGCCCCCGCAAAGACCTCCAACACGGCCTCAGCAGGCCAAAAACCTTAATTTTCCATTTATTTTTGAACGATTCTGTGCTTCTCGCCTTTTCTGGCCACGAACGGCCCAATAATGATCTGCGAGCTTCCGAGGTCGCCCCGAAATGGCTTCCAGGCGGCCCAATGGGGCCCCAAGATGGGTCAATAAAGTGCAAAGAAAGCCAGGGAGCGCCCAAGAGACCCCTAAAAGACCCCCAAGAGGGCTCCAACAGAGTCACGGGATGCTTCAGAGAGGGCCCGAGAGAGCCCCAACACGGCCCCAGGACGGCCCAAGCCCCCCCAGACAGCCCACGAGGGCCCCAGGACAGCCCAAGAAGGCCCTCCGATGGTATACAAAAGCACCAACAGGAGCTCCACTCAGTCTTAGAGCCGTCAAATTCTTTACACTCTGATTGACCTGAGCGGCCCCCCCCATCGCCCCTAGTTCTTCTCAACCTCGCCCCAAGACGGCACATGAGGCCCTGCAGACATCCCCACTAGAGCCCAAGAGGGTTCCAAGATAACTCTCGGCATGACCTACTCGGACGTCCGACAGCACATCTCTCGTCCTTCTCTACCTCCTCCTCCTCCTCCTCCGTTTCCCCCTCTCTGCCCCTCATCCCCTCCTCAACCTCCTTCATCCCTCGAACTCGTCGCCTTCCTCCTCCTCCTCGTCCTCCTCCTCCTCCTCCATCGCCCTCTGCTCATCGGGGATCTTCTGACCCGGGTCAATCCAGACCCGGGTCAGCAGGAAACCAAAAACTGCAATGCAGGAAAAAAAAACTGCAACGCAGGTCTTCGCAAACCCGGGTCAGCCAATAGGCGCGGCCGCCTCGCGGCCACGAGCGGCTCCCTGACCCGGGTCAGCCAGAGGGGGCCTTCGCAGGATCCTGCAGGATCTGGCGCCCTGGCTGACCCCCGTTTGCATTGACCCCCGTCTCGAGGCTCCCGAGCTCATTTGCCTCCACCGACTCCGGGATACGAAAACTGATACTCATTTTCTCAGGAGGTTTTCTCCTGATCCTCCTCCAGCTGCTCCTTCGAGGCTCTGAAGACATCCCCAAGAAAGTCCAAGAAGGTTCCAACCTAACTCTCGACACCAACTCTTCGGAAATCTCCTCCTTCGAGGCTCTGAAGACATCCCCAAGAAAGTCCAAGAAGGTTCCAACCTAACTCTCGACACCAACTCTTCGGAAATCTCCTCCCAACCTCCTTCTGCTGCTCCTCCTCCTCTGGCTCTTTATCCTCCTGCTCCTCTTGCTCCTCCTGTAGTTCGTTGTCTTCCTCCTCCGCTGCCTCGTCAAAAGCCCCAGACCACATACTCTTATCACAAGCTCCCCAAAAGCAAGCAGGGGTGCCAAGACAGACCAAGGGGGCTCCGAAGAGGGCCCACGACAGGCTTCCAGGTTCCGGGCCCCACCGGCCCGTCCATAATTGATTGCCAGCTTTCCCGAGGCCTCTTGGAGGCTATCCTGAGCCATGCTCGGCTAGAGGCTGTCGGAAGCTATTCTGAGCCATGGTCGGCTATGTTGGGCCATATTCAGGCTGTCTTGAGGCCTCTTGGAGATCTGTCGGAGGCTCTATCTTGAGCCATGCTTGGCTATCTTGGGCCATTTTGGAGGCCATCTTGGGCTATCTAGGGCTCTCTTGGAGCCATCTTGGGCCAAAAAGGGCGGGGTGGAGAATCTTCAGGAGAGGCTGGGAGGCCTCTCGGGCCCGTCTTGGGCCCCATTGTTCAAAAAGAGCGGGGGTCCTCAGTTCAGGTCCCCCCCTCGGAGGCTCTCAAACGGCGTCTTGGGGACGTGTTGGAGCGCTCTTTGGAAGCCTCTTGGGCGATCTTGGGGCCGTCTTGGGCCTTCTTGGGCCCCTCTTGGGGCTCTCTTGGGCCATCTTGGGGCCATCTTGATGCCTCAGGGGCCCATCGGAAGCGAAAAGACGAGAATGCCAAACACATTGACTTTCCTTAGGCTTTTGAAGGGTTTTGGCTTCTTGGAGGGCGCCGTGGAGGGCTCGAAGGGCACTTGGATCCGTCTTGAGGACTCTTGGAGGTGTGTCGGAGGCTATCTTGACCCATCTTGAGGTATCTTGGGCCATCTTGGAGGCCATCTTGCGACTTGGAGCGCCTCTTGGAGCCATCTTGAGCCATCTTGGACGCTCTAACGCCTCCATCCCCCCCCCCTCCAGGTCCAGGGGAAGGTTACCCCTCCCCCGAGCAGGGGAAGGAAGGGGAAGAGAGAAGACCAAACTCGTTATACCACCGTAGCCCTAAAGGGCTGGTGGGACTTCCACCTATAGACTTCCAGCCTCCATCAGCTCAGCACTCCGACCTCTAGCGTCCGGCATCCGACTTTCCACCTTCACCTCCACTCCAGCGTCCACCAACTCTGCGCCCTGAGCCCCGCCCCGGGCGCTACCGCGCACTCGCCTCGCCTCGCCTCCGCTCGCACAATTCCCACACACCTCATTGAACAATTGTGTTCTCGCCCGCGCCCAGAAACATCGTAGGTGCAAGGATCAAGATTAGAAGGCGAAGAGCAACGAGCCTTAAAATCTTGTATCTGTATATATATATATATATATATACTATATATTCCTTCTACCTATCAAATTACAAGGAAAAACCCGGTATGTCACCGACACCCCCCCCCACATGGACCCCAGATGAACCCCACAGGCTCCCAAGAGAGCCCCACAATGCTTCGAGACGGCCCAAAATACCCCGAAGAGAGCGACACGAGGCCTACATCGGGAGCCCAAGACAGCAGAAGGCACTTCCGAGACGTCCTCTGCAAGGCCCAAGAGGCCCCAAGACGGCCCCATAGTGCTCCAACAGGACCAAACATGGGCTCAAGACTGTCCAGGATGCCCCCGCAAAGACCTCCAACACGGCCTCAGCAGGCCAAAAACCTTAATTTTCCATTTATTTTGAACGATTCTGTGCTTCTCGCCTTTTCTGGCCACGAACGGCCCAATAATGATCTGCGAGTTTCCGAGGTCGCCCCGAAATGGCTTCCAGGCGGCCCAATGGGGCCCCAAGATGGGTCAATAAAGCGCAAAGAAAGCCAGGGAGCGCCCAAGAGACCCCTAAAAGACCCCCAAGAGGGCTCCAACAGAGTCACGGGATGCTTCAGAGAGGGCCCGAGAGAGCCCCAACACGGCCCCAGGACGGCCCAAGCCCCCCCAGACAGCCCACGAGGGCCCCAGGACAGCCCAAGAAGGCCCTCCGATGGTATACAAAAGCACCAACAGGAGCTCCACTCAGTCTTAGAGCCGTCAAATTCTTTACACTCTGATTGACCTGAGCGGCCCCCCCCATCGCCCCTAGTTCTTCTCAACCTCGCCCCAAGACGGCACATGAGGCCCTGCAGACATCCCCACTAGAGCCCAAGAGGGTTCCAAGATAACTCTCGGCATGACCTACTCGGACGTCCGACAGCCCATCTCTCGTCCTTCTCTACCTCCTCCTCCTCCGTTTCCCCCTCTCTGCCCCTCATCCCCTCCTCAACCTCGTTCTTCCCTCGAACTCGTCGCCTTCCTCCTCCTCCTCGTCCTCCTCCTCCTCCTCCTCCTCCTCCTCCTCCCATTCCTCCTCGTCCTCCTCGTCCTCCTCCTCCTCGTCCTCCTCCTCCTCCTCCTCCTCCTCTTCCACCTCCTCCTCTGCGCGCTCTCTCTCTCTCGCTCTCTCTTCCAACTTCACAGTCGGCGCGCGGCCCCGGGAACCAAAATTTGATGTGCAGTCTTCCCAGTTGTTCCCATCCTGTTCAGACCCCATGACACGAGGATTCCGCGCTTTCCCTGTCCTCGCCCTCCAG